TTTTACTTAGCACATTATTGTTCCTATTCGATAACGTCTTGGCCACCATTCACTCAGAATGACTGAAAAACAGTGAAAACACACGAGTGAACGAGCATCATTTCATGCATATATACGTCTCATTGCAAGCAACGATCTATGATGCGCATGACTACTATCTTTTATGGAAGATTATGGCAAGAAAGAGTGATTAATATATTTTGAGGAGGCAACACGTGGATGGATATGTATTGACTGATATTGTTTTAGAACAAAAAACAAAAAAAATTCCCAAAAGCCTAAGCCACATTCACAGCTCGGTATGAAGTATTATCGAAGCATAGGATTGATTCTAAAGAATTTTTCTCGATGAGACAGAAGCCACGATAATGAGGATTTGTTCAGCACTTGCATTCAGTGCACGTACTTAGACGAGCACGAATTTCTCATACCTTTAACTTGTAGTGGTGCTTTTCATTCTGATTATTCAGCAATTCAGTTCTCCATCTAGCAATTCGAGGAGGACAATTTCTGAGAAGAAATTGTGTTCGTTGACGTTGGTTGGAAGTGTTTTTTGTTCGCATTTTTTTTAATTCTGTGAAACTCTGAAGAAAGTTAAATGAATTTATTCGTGTTTCACGAACGTTCAGTGTTCATAACCATAAGCAGGAACTTGTTATAAGCACAGCATCCAAGTAACAGATACTATATTTAGCTAGATGTAGGCTCATCATGGGACTTCGTTCTTATTTTTCGCATTTTTAAATAGCGATTTTATCCTTTTCTCAAGTCGATTAGTCTCGGCCAGATAAATCACCTCATCTAGACGCGCTTCTCAGCGCACAGATAAATCTCTTGATTACAGTGTAATTATCTCACTTCATTTTTCACATGTCTTGCTGTCGTTATTTTAAGAATTTTTGCTTTAATTGATTCAATCCTCTTTGCACACAGTTCTTTCGATAAGATGAGCTGATTGTGAGTTATTTGGATGAACTGAAGACTGATGTAGATTGATGTGTTGAAATATAAATGAAGAATGTGTACAGTTGCAAGCGCTCCAATAAAAAACCTATAGCAACTTCAAAAATTGTGAATGTTAGAGTGCGTACAGGTGCACACTGCGCCCGAGGCATATCATCGTTTATCGCTTCTGAACACTTCNTTCACTACTCAGCCGCGTCTTCTTCGAGGAAATGCAATCAGATCCACTGTGTCCATTAGTTGAATGAATTACAAAATTTTTCTGGGGTTGTTACACTGAATAGAATTCATTTCTTCTAACCCTTACCGTGCTCTTTGGGTGATACACTTCCACCATAGATTATATTTTGGATTTCTTATTCCTGCTGGAGCGTTCAAATCCGAGCGTGAGTCCGCTCAATTTTGATGATAATGCAATAACCGATGGAATATTTGTACCACTATAGTTTTGGATAGTTTTCTGTGGATTCTTGACAAGAGCTTTCAGTCTCATTTCTGCAACATGGAAGAGCAGGGGATATGTTAGTTGTTAGCATGAGTGAATCGGACAAGGCGTTTCAACGTTTTCACTTGTTTTGCTATCCTGGATGTAGTATTTGAGCGATTACCATCGTGCAAAGGTGACTGACTGTCCTTGAGTTTATTTGAAGTGCCACTGTCGGCAAAAAGCATTACATGGTTTTTTTGATACCAGTTTGACGACAGAGCACACCAGACGAAGACAGAACTATTCCTTAATCATCATAGAACAGCTGAATGCCGATATTTAACAGATGAGGCTAAAAAAAGACTGCACAATGTGATTAAAGTGGTTTGTGTTGGAGGAGGACAATCTTTGANAAATGTAAGGGACAAATTTTGTGATGGTAGGAAGTGGAGGGTGGACAGGACAAGTGTGTTTTATTTATTGTTAGCAGCAATTGCTTTGATATTTATTCAACGATCGAATTGGTTTAAAACCATAATCTAGTGGTTTTTTAAATTAGTGTATCTATTTCAACTTCATGTTTCTTTCGCTAATCGTCATACTTTTTGCAAACAGATCGATCATTTCTCGAGTTTGTTGATTTTAATAGCATTCGTTTGTGTACTTAGTCGTAAGTGCTAACTGTTCTCTTATGTCTATACCTATCAGAAGGATTTTATCATATCTCCGTTAATTGTGCAATCAGATTATCGCATTCAACATTCCGTTTACATCATCGACCAATATCTTGAATTATGTAATAATTTGAGAGATGTGATTCTTCTTTCGAATAAGTTGGCCAGTTAAAATGAGCACGATTGAGTTCCGTTTGAAGCGGTCAATCTGATCAATTCACATTGAACGCATTGATGATGTGTTGGTCGTGTAGTGTTCAGAACATTCAAATGTAATCAGATGATATGTTTCTTCATAAATGCAGTGAATTTCAGCAAAGAACGACTGATACCAAGTGGTGAATCGCTATTGGTACAACAACACTATAACAACAGAGCTAATAATGGCAGTCGTGCAATAAGATCGAATTCGATATACGCTGTGAATACAGCAGCAGCAACAACAGCCACCGCTAGTGCAACTGCAGCAGGAGCAGCACCACAATACATCGTTACGGGCTCTCACATTCCGCAGAGTAGTAGTGTCCACTTGGAGCACTCTACTCACACTTCACACTACCTACCTGCACTTTTCGCCGGTATCTTTTCAGTTTTTTTTNTTAATCCGGTTATCCATTCATTCATCATTACTGATATGATTGCAATTATCATATCTTACGAATAATTTGCAAACGCATCGAAAAAACCATTGACAGTGCAAACGTAAAACTTTGATTTTGTTTCGTTCACCGTGATTTCGTCCATAATTAAGCATCCATCAGCATTCTTTCACGAGTTATCGCTTTCATTCCATTTATGTATTGGTCATTGTGTTCGTCGTACCTTTTTTTTCGGTCAGAACATTGATTCATAATTGATATTCGTGTAATCAGACACATCCAGCCGCACAGCTTTTTCATATCCACATACATGTGTTTGCTATTTATAGCGACTAGCAAATGAATTAGATGCTCATTAAATACACATGTTTTTGAGAGCGATTCGTTCGCCTATACATAATTTTATCGCTTCGAGCAGGCAGGCAGCAGTCATCCGCAGAGGAATTATCAGAGCTGTTTTTGATGTTAATAGTTCATTAAGGGTGCAGACGCCTTTATCACCGTAGCGATGCGGTAATGTTCTTGTTGTAGTTAATATTATTATCCTGCTTCCTCTCATTATGATTTGGTTGTAGTGTTGAGACAATACAGCATTAAGCAAAGAAGAACTTCTTCAAGCAATCTTTGCAGTTCAGGATGTCTTGATTAATGCTAGTATTGTGGCGAAAATTATGGGTCTGCTTGAATGAAGAATTATCGCAGTTAACTTGCAAAATATTGCGTTGCTTTCTAATGAACCACAGTTATGTGGATACAGCTGCAACGACATTCTGAGTGTATTCTGCAGTAGGTTTGGCGCACTTCTGAATGGTGGTCGTTGTAAAATCTGTTGCTGGAGGAAATGTTAGAAAATGAACGTGAAGGAAATGCCTAGCAAAGACATGAAAAATTGCTTATCGTTAGCGAGAACAGTTAGTGTAAAGCGAAAAAATTGAACAAATGAGCTCAGATCGTGCGACGATTTTGCTCATAGAAATGCACAATGTGGAAAGAACTTCATCTGAAGAAAAAGCTGCCTGCATAACGTTGAACAGATTTTTTTTNTTTTTTTTGTTTGTGGGAAATTTGTGATGAATGCTTACTGTGTGAAGTGTTCATTGTATGAATAAGTGTAGCAATTCTAAAAAAGTTTCGAACGATTTCTTACTTTGCACTCGACATTCTCGTGGGCACAAGCTGCACACACACACATACACACACTCGTAAAATTGCTTGTTTGTATAATGAAGCTTTTTAATGTGTAGAAAGTATCCGAGAAATCACTTTGAGTTTCGCGAATCATCAGTATATAACAACTCCGAACGCATACGTGATCATCATCACGTTTCGAAAGATTTTCATTACGTCGACTCTGTGAATATTGCAGTTCAGTTCAGTTCAATTCGTTGCAGAGTTATTCATTTTAAAGGAAATTTTCGAGTCGATGAACGACGCATCGTTTAATTGCACATCATCGTCATCATTCACGGAGAAATAAGCCTCATAGAACATTTCAAATAGCTATCCATCCCATTGTTAGATGGGTAGAGTTGTGGTTGTTCGCGTTGTGAATTTGAATCGATTTTTGCATGCATCGATTTCCAGTTTCCATGCAAAACTATTGAGCAAACAATTGAACCGATTAAAAGTCGCGATTGGTACCGATATACATTCATAGAACGATTTTATTTCTGCTCATATTGTCAATAGTAGTATCACAAAACATATGCAATAGATCGCTATCGATTGACAACATTTGAAACTGCGATAACACTTGTCATTATATGCTACTGAGAATTTCCCATTCTAAAATGAAGCAGTAGCAGCAGCAGCCTTGTAAGAAATTAATGAATAATTCAGTATCGAAAAATTTAGAGATTTCAAGCTAGAAACTCGTGAATGCCGTATTCTTTTCACTGCAAACTCGTCGATTTTGGTTTTTGCGTGGCTTTTGCAAGAGGAAACCTCAGTTTAAGGAGATTGTGAGCGAACCTCTAGTTGAAGGGACTCCTTATTTTTCTCAAACCTCTCAAACATTCACTGAAGTATGCTAATTGATTGTTCATTATTATGTGTTGCATCGGTATTTATTTGTAATGTCTTATAATCCAATATGACTGGAATTAAATTTTATGATTTTAATATTGTAGCGTTTTGGGTGATTGATCGTGCGGGCATTTTTGTTAACAATTATTATTGAACATGAGCGTTTGATCATCAACTATCATTATGTATGAAATGGCTGTCATTATGTATGAAATGACAATAAATTGCAGTAGAATGAGTCAAATTTGCTGTAGCATGAATGACTCTGAGGAAAGATGATATGTATTGTGATGCTGAATGGTGATTTAAGGATACCATCCAACCTCAGAGCATCGTCACATTGGTGGTGGTTCGGTTTATCAGAAGCACAAGACGATCGTGGTACCATCTGCGTCGAGTGCGGTGGTGACTGGCAGCAAGCCGACGCTGCCCGCACTGCAAAATACAGCGAAAAGTCAAAATATGATTGAGGTATTGGCTCGAGGTGGTACCATTGAAACGGCAACCATACCGATTGCAACGAGTAGTAGTGCTATTGGTATGTACCATTCATCAAATTTATAAATACACCACGACGTCAACTGATTGATGTCAAAATTGTTAACTTTAAATACGATCATTATCAGTATTCGTTAATATCTCGAATATCTATCTCCGTATTCCTCTCGTATATTTGCACCTAAACCATTGTCATTGCTCTGGCAAAACACGAAAATGATGCAGCCAAGGTCATTATTTGGCGTTTCAGTGTAGATTTTGGTTGCACACGCAATTAGACCGTCGGTAATTCAGTAGCACTGATTTAAATCAAAATTGGCAATACCTAATATTTTCAACATAGGCTTCGAGTTCTTAAGAAATGCCTTAAAAAATCTTGGAAGGAACGCTTCGTAGATGCGATGCGTACCATTGTTGACGGGAAAAAAAAACTGTTCGAATTGATTGTCGATTAACAATCGTCATTATAATGAGTGTTTAGGTGGCGGATCTTCGACCTCATCTGGTGTTTCATCAGCATCCAAGCATCTCTCCTCATCAGTGTCAACCCTTTCAGCTGTTGGTCAAGGTGTTGAAGTGCGACAACACATCGCTAAAAGCCCATCTGATGAATCACTCAAGTAAATTTTCAGTCATTTTTTTTGCAAGTTTACGCTGGAAAGGGTTATCCTTATTACTAGTTGTTGTTGATTCCGTCACTTTAATCTTGCGTTAGCATCGAGCAAATGTTCATTGAAGATCACATACCTCCTCATCGGGTGGCAGCGGTGGAGGGACGAACTCTGTCGGAACAGCCAATTCGGGTGCGACTGTTGGCAATAAAGTATTATTATTTCTAAGCTTCTCCTTCTCAATATTGTCCGTGTTGATTGTCTCGGCATTCGTTTCCTTATCTTATCTTATCCAATCCGAAACGTCCCTCATCCAAACTCAACTCAATAACTTAAGGGCTATCGACCCGAAGATGCAGTGCGTACATTCGGTAATAAGTTGAGTGCTTACGAGATATCCGAGATTTACAACTATCCGCGAGTTTATTTCGTTGGATCTCAAGCGAAGAAACGCGGTGGTTTGGTTGGTGGACCGAACAATTGTGGGTATGACGATGAAATGGGTAGTTATTTATTGGTCGCACACGATCATATCGCTTATCGATATGAGGTGCTCAAAGTGATCGGTAAAGGAAGTTTTGGTCAGGTTCGTTACTTGGCATTTATCGCGACAATCATTTATTGCGTTTCACTTGACCATATGCTATATTCATTCATTTATTCATCATGGTAAATTCAAAGAACACTGAGCAAATAATAGTAATTTGTGTATTGCAGGTGATCAAAGCATACGATCATAAATATCAGCAGTATGTTGCACTTAAATTGGTACGCAACGAGAAACGATTCCATCGACAGGCTGAAGAAGAAATTAGAATTTTGGTTGGCTTTCGTTTGCATTCATTCATTTACGTGATCGCTGAATTACACTTCCTGGCTCGTGTTTTAGTTATACGTGCGATTGTTTCGCTAATCATCAATATTGCTGTCATTCTTTCCCTCATTGTTATAAACGTTACTAGCAGTATTGTTGCAATTATCTCTCATATAATTATGACAACGACTGAATGCAGCAAGATTAATGTATATGTTGAGATAAAAATTCAAAAATTGCAAGCAATGAAAAAAACTGGTTGATAATTGATGATTATAATTGATGAAATTGAAGGATCATTTACGGCGGCAAGATCAAGATGGAACACGCAACATCATACACATGTTGGATCATTTCAATTTCCGTAATCATAAATGTATCACTTTCGAATTGATGAATATCAACCTGTATGAACTGATCAAAAAGAACAAATTTCAAGGATTCAGTTTACAGGTAGTGCTTACTCTCTTGTGCCGCACTTATTACTGCTTCTTTCCAATGATGAACCGTGGAATTCCACGTTGACGTTTCAGAATTTTAGTTAGGTAACTGGAACAAAATGTAATTAGTAAATGAACCCACTAACGTTGGATCGAGTTTCAGCTGGTGAGGAAATTTGCTCATTCAATGTTGCAATGTCTTGAATTGTTGAATCGTAATCGTCTTATTCACTGTGATCTAAAACCGGAAAATGTCCTTCTGAAGCAACAAGGAAGGAGTGGCATTAAGGTTCGACATTCATTCTTTTCTATTTAATTAATTTTCTTGAGACCATCGAATTTCATTCCACTTTTCCGCTCATTCGAAGAACTCGTTAATGTTCCTGTTAGTTTCTTCATCTCATCTGTTAGTTTCATTTTTCGTACAAGTTCATGTAGCCAATTTCGTGTGATGTTGACGCAATATTTATTTAGAAATGAATTGACTTTGTTGATAGATGAAGTGTTGAGTTCACTTTTATTTACATTCAAAACGATCATCAATTAATTTGTGCTTAATTTATCACTGATGCAATAAGAAAACGTTCATTCAGGTCATTGATTTCGGTTCGTCATGCTTTGATGATCAACGAATATATACTTATATTCAGTCGAGATTCTATAGAGCTCCTGAAGGTTTGTTTTCTTTCTTTTCATTTGAAATAATAATGATGCAAACAGGTGATCTTCCACTCGCCTGCGCAATATTCATTAGCCGACTGGTGAATCGCTCATATAGTTTGTACGGCTCTTTGAAACACTCTGTACACTTTCGAAATGCAGGCAAAAGATATGCGTTCATTTAAACAGAATGATGAAGAAGTGCTTTTTGTAGTGATAATGGGTGGTAAATACGGAATGCCTATCGATATGTGGTCGTTGGGATGTATTCTTGCTGAACTTCTCACCGGATATCCTTTGCTGCCGGGAGAGGATGAAAGTGACCAGGTGACTGTTTTATCCTTTCATAATTTTGTTATTTAAAAGTAGAAATCCATCTTTATCAGAGTATGTGAATGTACTTCAGTGATAAGCCTTATCATTACTATTATTATTACTGTAATGATAATAAGATTTTAAGTGATGTGCTGTTTCAGTTAGCCCTGATAATGGAGTTGCTGGGGATGCCTCCGGCCAAAGTAACGGATAATTCGAAGCGAACCCGTAACTTTATTTCATCAAAAGGATATCCACGTTACTGTAGTGTAACACCGATGCCTGACGGAACGGTTGTACTCGGTGGAGGGAGGTCAAAAAGAGGCAAACCGCGAGGACCACCAGGTAGTAGAACTTGGACTGCGGCACTCAAAAATCAGGTTCTTTTTTTCCACGAATTCATAACTTGGACGATTTTTGTTTTGAAATATTATCATCACTTCTCCTATTGATATGGCATTCTTAGCACCTGAGAAATTATGTTCTGAATGCTTCATTGTGCCTCAACAATATGGGCAATCCGTGAGCGCTCGTGAGCGTTTAGTTGTATTATTTCACTTAAATGTGATGATTTACACTCACTAAGTGAACTTAATGATTAAAGGGTGATGAACTATTCATTGACTTTCTGAAACGTTGTTTGGATTGGGATCCGGATGCTCGTCTTACACCACAACAAGCGTTGAAACATCCTTGGTTGAGAAGACGTTTGCCACGGCCACCTGAGTCAAATCCTAATCATATTTGTTTGGAAACGAACACAACTGACACAACTGTGAACGGTTTGTTTTGCAATTCTGACTGTAAATTTTATTCTTTGATTTCGGTTTACTGAATTTCCCGATTTGTGTTTTCATTCGTAGTTCGTCGTCCATTTGAGTAATTAATAACAGATAATGTTGATTACATGATTGCGGTGGTGATAGCTGGTGATAATTATGCGATACGGGTGATTTGCAGGATCGAAGCTAACTCGGATGCCATCATGAAAGTATTTGCAATAATCGAAACATTCCATTTTCACAAAATATACACATCTATAAATTACATCCATTGTGATAATCGATAAAGTATGCTGATAAAACAGTAGAACGCGTCAGCAATTATCATTCATTTGGTGGTTCGATCAATTGATGGATTGAAGCAAGTAATGACTTATCAGTAGTAGTCGAATGTATTTCCTCTCGTTTCATCGGCTTATCGTTTTGATTGACACTGGAAATGAAATTGTGATGAAATGTGTTTGATCGTTTATTTGATTGTCATTTGATTTGTTGCAATCAACTGTTATTATGTAGTCAAAATCAGAATGTTGATAATTGCAATGTTGGATGAGGGTAATATGGATGGTGTTGGGTGATTATTTCGTGTTCACTAGTAATTTTTTAGCGTTGATTCTGCACAATTGCATTAGAAACGTTTCTACAGGTATGAATGACTATTGTCGTCCGTCTCATTTGATGGTCTGATCGTAGCTAACTGTGTGTGAATATTCATCACGATAGCATTTGTATTGTGTGTTTGATGAATGCCGTTAAGATATCTTTCATATGTGTCCATTATAGCGCATTGTTTTCGTTTGGTTAACAATCCTCATTATCAGTCAGTCATTTTGCGAATTCTTTAAGTGTTTGATTACCGGAATTGGATGGATGGATGGCCACCACTTGGAAAAACATTCGTTCTCATATTGCATCTTGCCATTCTGCCATCAGCACATTACCGTTTTCCTTCACATAACACTTTTGCCAGTTCATCAGCATAGTTTTATTTCTGGCACAGTTTATTTAGTTGATTACTGCTAAATCGGTTGACTGTTTATCAGGCGGGGATGAATGTAAAGTGTGAACGTTTAGTCATTATCGTCGAGTACTTTGACAATTTAGAAAGCAGCTCAAGGCAGTGTTTCGATGATTTGTTGAGAAAGCGATTAGCTGCATTTGCAAATCTTCTCATCATAGCGATAGACACTAGTTCTGAATCTATCAATTATTTTTGTTTTATTTCGGTGTTCATGGCAAATGTGCACCTTATAATTTTATGATAAATTGATATGTTATTGTTCATTTATTTCAAATTAGAAGCATTTAATTTCATTCGTTTCTTCTTGTCAGTTTTGTTGCTGTTGTTGTTGTTGTTATTATCTTATTTTTTGTTGTGTGAACCTTCTCAAAATTTCTTTCATCGATTTCAAATCGACGCAACAATTCGTTCATTTCTAAGATTCATTCGCACCTCCACTATCAGTCAGTTGCCATTAGTACGATCGTTTATCAGTTCATAATCCAATTACCACAATGATGCCCTTTATGAAACCGTATTACTTGTCTTTTAATCACTGATTTCTTCTTTTTTTCTCGCATAATTTCATTTATGAAAAATTCGTTCCTCAATGTCCATCTTGTCTCATTATTGATTAGTGTAAATTTTTGTTATTATTTGTTTTTATTTCTAGAAAAATAATTCAGTTTTTTCCTCTTGTTTCATTGACTTCTGATTTCAGTTCGTTTAATAGTGTCGTACTAACGTTTAAGCACGCAAATGCGGCGCTATTCAGCGAGGAAGCCTGCTCTAGAAGCATACACAGCATGTGAATGCAAGTTTTCTTCTGAGAGAATCTCTCAACAGTGTGTATTTACTTTCGATATTTCTCAGAGTTGTATCTTTAATAATAATTTCTTCTTTATTTCTGTATTTAGAGGAGAGCAGAATATCGTTGAAAGAAGTGTTCGTTCGTGTTCGAATGTCCGTTTGAATGTTGGTTGAATGAGTAGTCTTAATTGAAGAAACGGTTTATCTGAGTGGTTTCATAGAAAGATGAGCGAGCGATGCAAACAAGTGAGTGTGTGGTGTACAGAGACGGCTTTTGCGAGCTAATGCATAAGTCAAGATGAGTGCTGCTGAATTAGTCTCTTAGTGCAGATGCTCTCTTAATGTATATATGCTCTTAATGCGCATCAGGGAGATGAGCATTCATTTTTTACTTGTCTCTTGATTGCTTTTTATTCGAACACTATGGGGAATCAATCGGTTTGAACGTTAATTGAGAATATCGACGGATGTGCGAAATCGTTTTAGTTTCACCGAAACGCTCATTTCACTGATACTGATACAAACTGAAAACTATGTGCTAATATTATATGAAAGTATTTGTATTGTATGAAGTAAGTATGTTGTATCACTGAATATTATTCTCACGTACAATGAATCTCTTCACATCTGTTATTGTTGTTTTGTTTCAATTACTTATTGTAAATGAGTAACGTTCTGAAATCGAATCACATCAGTTAGTTTCAATTGATCATCCATTCTCAACCGTATTGTGCTTTCTCATCATTGTTGAATGTTATGTTATTGTTTTCATAGTACTCTGATTTTGAATTAATTAATTTATTGTATTATTCACGTTGATCTATGTATGCGCGTTAAGCCCTCCTCGTATTTCGATTACACCAATTTTGCTGTTCTACTCGTCATCACACTATCAATTTTCTACTTTTATCAGTTACAATCCACTAAAAATTACTTTTATTGTTCTCGTATTTGCATAATGAATTGAATTGTTCTTATTCGCGAATATCATTGGTGTATCTTTGGTGTAAATGTTGAATTCGATCAGTAGTGAAAATAAAATAACATACACAATTTGAAGGGTGTGAAAGGGAATTGTTTCAGTCTGATATCTATTCGTTCATTTGTTGGCTTTTCTGAAAATCTGCCTGACACACACAAACTGAAAAGCCTCGGAAAGTGGTATTTGTATTAAGAAAGTTTTTTTGTCATGAAATTGGATCACAATTGCTTATTTCATTTATCGTTGTTTTGATAAGTCTTTGTTTGTGTATATTCGATTACGATTTGCTTGTAGGGATTGATGGAATACCAAAAAAATTAACGTGGAATACTGCTGCACAAATTTTTGTATGTATGAATTGTATTGGTTTTTTGTTTTGAATTATATGGTAATTTGATTCATATTCGTATGAAATGAGGTCAATTGAGATGTGAATAATACAACATTGGTTTATTGTTTCATTCATTCACAACACAACAAGTCATTTACACGTTCTGAATTTCATGAACTTCCGCATTCGAAATCTCACTTTCGCCATCAAAATGGAAGAAATGTTGTTTCACACTGGACTCTAGTATGAAGCTTCAGATGGTTCCCCGATGTTGTCTCAACATGGCCATTTCTCGTACGCAAATTGTATTCCCTGGCTGGAGTGGACCAATTCTATTGGTAGTTCGTACATTTCTAAGCAATGACTTGAGATCGAGACGAACGAGTGATTTGAAGACTTGAATGGTGGCACGTTGATACATCGGTAACGCGATTATTGTCGATAAACAGATAACAGTTGTGCGTACCTGCAAATGAAGACTTTTTGTTTGGATTGTTCCTTTTACAATAAGTCTTATGACAAGTTTAGCTACACTTAAACACTCATAAACAACTGCCCGTAAAGAATCAATCCATTTGAGTAAAATTATTAAAGTTTCATTCAAAACAATTGATTCTCTTTTGCATATCAGGTCAGGTGTTAGAGACAGATTAGGAAATAGAGATGAATTTCAAAAATTTGCATGCAATAAATATTCAAAACGGAATTTCGCCGGATCAATTCAGTGATCAATCTTCAGGCACAAACAACCATCGCAATAAGCAACTGCTTATTTCAACGTACATAGCTGATAAACTTTGATATTGTAATGACGTTAAAGTGAAATTCGTGGCTCGGTATCAGAATTTGAAGGGAGATGCGTATCAGCTCCACTGAAAGTGAACATTTGTGATGAAAGTGATCAATAATTTCGCAATGCTTTCAAACGAAGCATTTTCGTGATCCGTTCCATTCTTATCGGTTATCATCTACAGTTTAAATTTGCTCACAGATCGTCTAGATCTTTCTCAGATATATGCAAAAGAAAGTATAACATGATGGTACAGTTAGTTCATTTTTTCAGTCAAAAATGGTCAAAATTTAAGATAGTTGGAATTAAGTAATGGAAAGGCGCAAGTCGTTTACCGTAAAAAGGTATGCTCATAAGATGTATCGGAATGGTGTACAGTGTAAATGCCGTTGTTAATTTCTTGTGGTTGACCAAATTTTGAGAAGCGCCCACAGCATTCTTCTCATTTCGTAGAGCTAATACGATAGCCTATAAAGCATATTTCATTGGTTTGAAAGAATGAATGAATGCTTGAAAGCTGATGACAATTCAAGAATTGAGCAAACGAGCTGAATGAGTGTCGAATGACGTGAAACGAACAAAAACATTTCTACAAGAAACGTTTACCTGATTCAACTAAAAGTGCACAATCTCGGCATTAATTAAAAGTAGTTTACAATCCAACTCTCTTTATTGATTTCAACAGAACGATCAAAGTAATGTATATTACTTAAATGAATGAATTCAAGTGAACATTAACCAGAATCGTAACGATCGTCGTAGCAAGCGACAGAAGAAATGCACTTGAATAAGTGGTATAATAGGCAATGAAGATCATTTGAACATTCAAATGCTTCAGATCTAAGAGCACGTAAGTAGTCATAAACGGAATCGTCAACACAAACGATAAGACATCAAGCGCTATTAACCATTTTGTGAAAAAGCTGAAACTTTTCCATGAACATCACCTATTCAGAGAAGCAATTCGTCAATTCAGAGGATCGATTTCATTTCAAACTCTCCTAAATGTATTGTTGTGAAAATGCTTGTCAGTTTTCTGTAGTGAATCAGTACTCAGAAAAAATCCTAGTGAACAGTTGATCAACTCTAGATTAACAACAATGAATTGGCAAGAAAACTGCACAGAAAAAAGTGATTCCGATAAAAGTTTTCGTTGATATTACAATTGATCTTTTACGATAGTAATAATTCAGTGGAAAAAATAACGGCTAATGGTTTACCGTGTGTGAACTTTTCGACGATAATATTGTGGAAATGTAAATGATGAAATCAAAACGAGCAGCACGAACAGAGA